CACGAAGTTTCTATATTTAACTTTTCTCTTTCGCTTTCTTAGCCTCTTGATACAAAAAAAAGAATAGAGTTCCGCCGTTTGTTCAAATATATTATGTCCATTCGACTCTGCGTCTTTATGTCTAATGAAGTCGCGACTACTGCAGTCGTAAAATAAATAAGCGATGTCTCCGCAAGAAAGAAAGGATAAATTATGAGAGGAACTCCTCACCGTGCAATCCTAGGAAAGTGGGGGTTTTAAAACTGATGACAATGAATAGTTTCAAGGCAAAGGTAGGGAAAAAAGGAAAATAAGAGGAAGGAACTAACTTAGAAGAGAAGGAGAAGAAAAGAAAGAGAGAGGGAAAAAAGTCGGTCACCGCCCCAGCCGAATTCGTTGCCCGCAACGTCGAAGTGAACGAGCTACGGAAGGATTGAGTATACTCATATACCTTCTTGTCCTTGCCTGTTTATATAGTGACTCATGTGTGCTGCGGCCCCCCAACTGTACAACTTTACAAGTCCCTTGGAGGGGTAACCAAATGACAGAGAAAGAAAGAGAGAGAGAGAGAAAGAGAGAGAAGAATACTGTCGGCGGTGGGGTCGAATCAAGTGGGGCGCCTACATTTACGGGGTGATGAGCATTTCCGTCTGGGGTTTTGAAGGCGGACCCCAAGAAACTTGGGCCTCGTTGGCTAAAGAATCGGAGGACTTAAGGCAATGGTGGGGACCGCAAAAGCGGCCCCCCCGCAAATATTACTGGTTGGTGGTTGGTGGGAGATACCGGCTCAACCAACGAGCCGGTGGCGACTTCATTCACCGTACTACGTAGACGTTTAACGCAACGTAACATGTTGCGTCTCAACGATGCATCGTTTCGATTTGAAAAATATGATGAACACCGTATGATGTAGATATATAAAAAATCATTTATTTAAACATGATCAAATGTATTAGAATCGCATGTTGTATTGAATATAAACACATTGCTAATACAATACTACTTGAACATTTAATCATTAAGTTAAAATTTATTTAATAATTTATTCAAATCGCACGCAAGATAGTAGCTGCATAAAATAACTAATAATAATAAAACATATAACGTGCGTTATTATTGAACTTTTGTTGAATAGTGATAAACACATAAATTTTTATAAAATTTTAGATAATTTAAACATAACCACATAATGATAAATAGATACAGATATTTTTATAAAATCTCTATTTTTTTATAGATAGCATTGCAGACATTATGATACTTTATCTTGTTTTATATAAGTAACCTAAAATAAAGAAAACTGACTTAGAAATTAAAAATATTTTACTATCCTATACATAAATCTTGATTCTAAATACATAAATAATAATCATTTAACTTATAACAGTTTGTTCTTAATTTAATTTAAAAACTTAATTATAAAGTATATATTTAATTTAGAAAATATCGATAGATATGCAATTTTTTGAACAAAGATAAAACAAATTTTTCAATTACAAATTTAATAGTAAATTATTGATTTATCTTATTTTATTAGTATATCTAACAATTTAAATAATCTGAAGCAATACCAATTAATATAACTATTTGTTTTGCATGATATATTATTTAAAATTATGTTAATATATTGTTAATTATACCGTGAAATATTGACAATTTGAATTATTACAGTAATTGATGAATTAAATATATATTAAATATATTACATAAATAAATATTACCTTAATATATGCTATGATATACTTGAAGTATCGAGTTAGAAGCGAAAGTGAAGAATCGGCTCACGATAAAACGCATATTCAACATTGATGGTAAATAAGTGACAGGCGTCATCACAAGCAATTTATCGCGATTGAAAATATTACTTCGCTCATGGATACGCTGACGTGAATATATTTTGACTGCCCAGCATGCGCAGATTACACTTCGCAATGCGTGCCGCGCGAAGAAATAACGGGCAGTCTCATAATCGACCGCTTGCATCATAATTCGCGAATTGTGTCGATCGATGACTTTGCACCGACACGTTGCGCTCTTATCAAATCTTCGGGGTCATTTGGTCAGATGCGTCGCAGTCGAGATTTCGGACAGTCATAATTCACAACAGTCGGTACGTGTAAACTTAATTAATCTCAGCTCAATCGCAAACGCACTCATTCTGCGCGCCTATATTCGTAAACTTAATGTAAAGTCCGTAATTACGCAAACCATTCGTGGCGGCGAGATCTCACGGCTTTCTTAAACAGCCAATAATTTGTATCGCTAACGAAGTATTATAAAACTATTAACAATTAATATTTCACAGTAATTAGCTACTAATTACAAGGAAAGAACGATTTTGCTGAAGTATCTAAATTTAATTAGATCTAAATTTAAAAATAATTTTGTTGTTCATTAAATCATTAAAATAAGTATGTCACTTTGCATTTAGTTATAATATATTTTGATTTTAATTTATAAAAAAATGTGATATATATACAATTTTATGAACAAAATAAGAAGAACTATATAATTTTTTGAACAAAATAAGACATTAAGATCATAACATATATTAAGGTAATATTTATATGTAATATAATTAATATATATTTAATTCATCAATTATTGTAATAATTTGTCAACGTTTCCTATTATAATTAACAATATTTTAATATTTATATATCTGTAGGATATTTCAATAAATTAATTATTTAATCGAATTAATTATTTAATACTGAATTTATATATTGTTCAAATTTCTGAATTTTTTTATTCTCTATATAATTCAACCATATTCACGTATCATTCCTATAAGGAGGGAAGGAGAAGACATTTCTTTTTTTAGTCTGAAAAATAATCGATCGATGCTTGCATTGATGTTTCCCGATATGAATTTTCCGCGACAGTACTCCGATTCGGGCGCGAGCTGTTCGTCATACGATAAACCTGCATTTCAGGTCATCGACTTGCTTCTATACCTGTTACTGATAGCAGCACTCGTTCTGTGTGTTCACTGGTACTTAAAATTCAAAGTCTAATTAATCTGTCATAAGGATTTATTTAATGTATCGGTAGAACGTACCTACTGTATAGACTCATTGCAGATATTATAAATTTCAGTGCGAATACAATATTCTGATAATTACATTAATAGCAGATAAATATATCATTAATATAAATATATAATTAATATACAATTAATAAGATTTGAAATTTGACGACACACATAACATTGAATTCTTTAACAATTCGATATAATGTTTATCGATGAGTTGATGAGTTGAAGATAAATTTTTATGTTGCTCGCATGTAAAATTAACGTACTTTGACTCCTATATGGACATATTTATTCTTTAGTGGCCTGTCTAAACGGAAATCATATTCGCATAAATGATATCCGAACTCATGCGCTCAGTATAGAATTTGCAGTATAGAATTTTATCAGTAAAATAACTCATAAAAAATAACGGTTCCTTTTCTCTCTGTAATTTCTTAGAAATTTCATGAGGATAATAGGCGAGGATTATTAGGCGATGTAAAAAAGTTGCCATCATGCAAAAAATAATAGTTCGATATTTATCAATATTCATAGTTGATTCTTATTTTAAAATCGTTTTAACCCTTTGAAGCACGATGTTATATTTATGTAACACCTATTAAAAAATGAAAATATTATATTTCTTCCGATTTTTTGCAACTATTATCTCAAGTAAAAATGTTAAAATTAGTAATTAGAAAGGTCAAAAAATATTTTAAATTTTTAAATGGTTTACTCAAGGTAATTCAAAATAATAGTGTAATAAATCTTTAATTTGTGTAATATGTTTATTCTCATTTGATAATGAACATCCTAAGGAGGGATAGGGTCTACTACTCATGAAGTTTCCGTAACAATGGATTTTTCCGGAATGAAGTTAGCCTAATCCAATCGGGGGGATCTAAACATATATCTACTGTTATATAGTTAATGCCGGATTCGAACAGAGCTGGTGATTAAAGATCTGAATCACCAGATGGAGCCATTTTTCGGCTCCTTAACGAAAAATCGCGTGTGGGCGCAAGTGGGATTGAACTCGGATCTACAGACCGCGAGTCAACTGAACCGAGTGACAAGCTACTTGATATCTCTTCTAAAGATTTGTACACGATCTCATATATCCGTAATCTACCAAGTCATCTGGTCTCTTGGATTGCTACTATGTTCAGTTTATATTTTCTCACTTGCTCTAATAAGGCTTTAACTGCCCTCGGTTTATATAAAGAGATTGTACATTTAATGATCCAATAGCACAGTCCGTAATTCGTTTGCATGGTCATCGCCGTACATCTAGTCTAATCCGAGTATATCCAGTCTTTTCACTTCAGAAGAAGACTATTTCAATAGTATGTTAGTTTTATATGTATTTCTTGAAACATGTATTTGTAAAATATATAATACATTCAGGAAACATATATATATATGAAACCCCTGTGGAGATTTGTCAGTGACCTCCAACAAGCGCATTGTTACGGAGTTAGGCTAACAACTCATCCCCTTAATTCTTAACCGGGCACGTCGCGATTTTTCAGAAAAATAAATTTTACTCTTAGTGCCGCGATGCCTCAAAAGAAAATCTTGCTTATATAATTGTAATAATGCGAGATATTAAACCGTTCCCCACATTTTTTTTTACTTTTTACTCATATTAATG